GATTAACAACATTTGAAAAATGAAAATATTGGAAATACAAAAATGAAAAAAAAAAAAGCTAAAATAAAACCACATTGAAATATAAACAAATGTTAGAAACATTCAAACTCCTTAGGTTATCACTTCAAAATCACATTATGAATCTAGCTTCAATCATGTCCAAAGGGAGGTGGCTTTTTTCCCTTGAAAACTATACTCAGGTTATTTTCTTTTCCTGAATGAAATGTTTTATTTTATTTTTCAATAGAGAAATATATTTATAGGAGGGTGGCATCATCTTGTGGAGAGATAGAATCATTTTGTAGTGATAGTTTATAGCCATCAACAAAATCCATTAATAGAAAGAAGTGCAGGTCTTTGTTAAGAAAATTTAGTTAACTTTAAATGTGCATTCATTTTGAAATATCAGATTGAAAGAAAAAGGAACAGAGGACAGGATGAGGAAATGAACAGAAAATATAGCCTTTTTCCCCCTTCCATGAACTGATAAGATATTGTTTTTGCTTGGTGTTATATTCTTCAGATAAAAAGTATCTACCTGTCATTACAAACTGCTTTCCTAATAAAAAAATAAAAAGAAAATGTTTTGACTTCCTTTGCCAAAGCTGTTGGGTTTTTTTTGTTTTTTTTTAAATACCCTTATCAACTATTTATTTGTTTAGTTTTGTTTGTTGTGTCAGTAAAAAATGTGCACCTGTTTATTCTGGCACCAGGAACAGTTGCATTTCTGTTCTACATAAATATTCCCACCTGTTTTACTTACTAAGTAATAAACATCCAATTCACTAGTTGTGGATAATTATCCATCCAGTTTAATCAGAAAGAAGTATTTTTCTCTGGGCATCTGTAAACAAGGCTTCATGTTGCCAACAGATCTTTATTAGGAATGTTGCTAAGACATACATTCAAAAGAGAACACAAATATGGAACGTTGCTTCTCTCTCTCTCTCTCTCTGCCTCCCTCCCCCTCCCTCCGTCCCTCCCTCTCTCTCTCTCTCTCTCCCTCTCTCTCTCCCTCCTTCCCTCCCTCCCCTCCCTCCTCTCTCCCTCCCTCTCTCTCTCCCTCTCCCTCCCCCCTCTCTCTCCCTCCCTCTCTCTCTCTCTCCCTCTCTCCCTCCTTCCCTCCTTCCCCCTCCCTCCGTCCCTCCCCCCCTCTCTCTCTGAAGCATATCAGAAGGCATTTGTAATTGACGTACAAAATGAGCTATGGAGCTTTAAGCCATCCTGGGGGACTGCAGTGATATCCTGGTAACCATGAGAGCAAAACCCATGTAGACTATAGTGACGAAAGATGCGTGCATAGCTTAATATGCATTGCGCTCTTCTGTTGTGTTTTTTAAATATACTGAATCGCCCATATGACATTTCAAGAAGAATATCAACCCTGTTAACTAAAGGATGATGTAAAACATTTATGCTTTGTGAGACACAAAATAGCATAAGCTGCTTCTTTTCCCAGAAGCCAGGCACAGGAGTCATTATTTTTCATTCCTAGCAAGTTGGCAGTGTCAGACCATGGACAAATATTAACTTATCACAGATTCCAGTAGATAGAGGGAAGTTGGTTTTTGCTTCCCCAAAGGCTTCTTCTGATAGACAGTTTTCTATTGGTACACAAGGGATGCTGAACAAGAGTGCAACAGAGTTATCTTAGACCTCCTAGCATGGACTTCCAGTGCTGAAGAAATCAAAGAAGGCAAATTCATCTCAGCAGAGCAGAAGGAAAAGTCCTTCTTTGTTCTTCTTTCCTCCCTACCAAGGAATATATTTCTTTTTACAACTGCATGGCTGGCTAGGGAGTTGAAATACCATTGATGGCTGTGGTGCCAAAGCATTCCATGAATTGCTCATGGCACATTTCAGGGCTGTACCTATTCTACACAAGGCAAAATAGAAGCCTTTGAAGACAGGCCTTCCAAAGGAGATTTTCACTGTCTAATTTCAGAGAAAGAAAATTCAAAAAGAACACATGGTCCTCAAAGACTGCATTATAAGGTCTGTACCTTACATTTATGTTGAGAATAAGTCATCTAGCTGTTGCATGCCATCAGCCTTTTGTCATCTTCCTCAACTCCCTGCTCCTGCCTTGCTTGCCTGTTCATTCACAACCGCACTTTGTACCGCTTGTTTTTTTTTTACCTATTGTCAACAATGCTGCTTTCCTTCTTCTGACTATTCCTTTACTTCTCCTCACTCACTTGAATGGCTCACCTCTCTACATTGGCTTGTTTTCTGACAGTCTTCTTCCTCTTCTTCTTCTTCTTCTTCTTCTTCTTCTTCTTCTTCTTCTTCTTCTTCTTCTTTCTTCTTCTCCTCCTCCTTCTCCTCCTCCTCCTTCTCCTCCTCCTTCTCCTCCTCCTCCTTCTCCTTCCATATCCATCATCAGACGTTGGCGATGATGTTGGCAATCCTATTTTTATCAACAGCTGCATGAAAAAGTGCTGTTGAGTTTTGTCCAAACCAATCCCTTAGATTTTGAAGCCATGATATTCTTCTTCTGCCTGGACCTTGTTTGCCTTCAATCTTTCCTTTAATAAAAATATTTATTAAATTTCCAAAGATTAAAATACACAGTACAAAAAGAAACATAATACACAAAAAAGCAAGAAAACACACACACACACACACCTCCCAAAACATAAACAACCAAAAACAAACATATCAAAATTTCAATATTAATAACAACTTTTCTGCATCAGTATCTCTAGCCTGTTTAACCTCTTTACACAAATTCTACTTCTAAATATTTGTATCTTAAACTTACATCTTTATCTAAATTATCTTGACTTCTATTTACAATTCGATCTTATAACAAAAACATCCATTAAGTTTTATGTTTACTCTCCAACTAGGAATACCATTTATTCCATATTAAATAGTACTCGGTAGTATGGAGGACACAGAGTACTAACTTTCACTTTTTAATGGCTTTGATGATTTCCCTACCTGACAGCCTACCAATGTATTTTTGTATGACATCTGTCAACCCTATTCTTCTGTTGCCACAGTCACCTCCATAGTTATTGCATTATTTACTTTTTTGAAATAAAATATTTCTCTAAGTATAAGGAACAAACAGCAGACCTAATATAATGTATGAAGAGAGAGAGAAAACGGAAAAGAGATTAGGTTTACTGATGCTCCAACACCTTCACTGTTCATCCAACATGAATTTAGGTGCCAGAAAAATATGTTTCCATGATCCCCCCCCCTTTCAAATGGTGTACATCAGCAATAGTCTGATTGGCAAGCACAGAATGATATCGTTGTCACTGGTACCTGAAGGTCCTGCTCAACTGCAGACCAAGAAACTCTCCCCTTTCTGTCTTACTCTGAATTTATCTTAGGTCTTTCTCCTTGAACATCTCAGGAGAACTCTGGAAGCCAGCATTAATAAACATGCCTTAAAGACTTTTGTGGCACTTATTATTGCTGCTTCCTTAATTCTGCTTTTAGTAAGTCAGAAAATGGAGGTTGTCTTTTGCTATTTAGACTTTTTTTTTCATATTCATATTACAAAAAATTCATAAAGCAAGAAATAAATACATGCATAGTTGCTCCTCCCTTCCTCCCTTCCTTCCTTCCTCTGTCTGCTGTAATTTTTACTAAGGGGTTCATTTGTTTCCAGAAGAATTACAATACATTCAAATCAGATATTCTTGTACCCAGATGGTCTCTACACCAGGATTGGCCTAACATAAAATAGCAAGTAGTTCATCCAAGATAAAAAATGGAGAAGGAAAGAGCAAAAGGAAACAAATAGAAAAAGAAGGAAATGGGGTGGCAGATTGAAGCCTCCACTGACATCATGAACATGCAAAAATATGCCACTTCACCCTTGAAGCATTTAGTGAGGCGGATTCAAGGAAATTGCCAGGCAGCTTGTTCTGAAGAGCTTCTCTCAACAGTTCCATCTGTTAATGAGGAAGAGAAAGGTCTGGCTGCATGAACTCCAAGAACTTGATGACACAGGGACTGTTCAGATGGCATGGAGATGGTTTGAGACAAAAGGAAAAGCAACAAAATCAGACCAGGAATATTAGTTGACAAGGGGGAAAAAATCTGGAGACCTCATATTAATTTGGACAAATAAGGCAATATGGAAGCAGACATTTTTGTTAAGATATTATGACAAGGCATTATCAATATTGGCTATGGACATGAGGAATCAAGTCACCTCTGTTCAGTTGAAGGGTGCAGTTAAGTCTTGGTAGGTGGGAAATAAGTAAAACATTTTCATTGATGAAGAACTAGAGGCTGTGGGGATTATTTCAATTTCAATTTTTCAATTTAATTCAATTTATATGCCACCCCTCTCCGAAGACTCAGGGCGGCTCACAATACATTTAACATCCTAATAAAAAACATTTAAAAATTAAAAACATTATCTTTTCTGCCCGTTCAGATAGTATGAAACTGGGGTGTTTGTATGAGTATTGTGGCTATTCCCTGTACCCTGCCAATGTTGCTCTAAAGACACCATGTAATTCATGCATTGGGAGTAAATGTTTGCAGAACAGAAGCAATGTTCACTTCCATGTAATGACTGGTTGACACAGACGTTAACATCAGTAGTGGTATTCACTTACTTTCGCTACCGGTTCGCAAATGTGAGAACAGTACCACCTCTGCGCATGCACATGCACAGAGCATCCATGATGACATTTGGGTGGGTGGGCAGAGCCTCCAGCCACCATCACTACTACCAGTTTGTCCAAACTTGGTAGAACCATTAGAATCCCAACACTAGTTAACATGAATATAGTTATGCACATCTGCAGTTCCAACTACTTTGTCAAAATGATGAAACTGGCTTTGTATTGCAACTTCTGCCTCCTTTGGATGTGCATGTGATGTCACAATGCATATAAAAAAGGAGATGGCTTTACATCATGATGTATGATATCATGATGGCATAATGTCATCTTTGTTGGCTAATTAGTTTGACCCTCCCATATCTCCAACATATACAGCCACTACCTACAACTGTATGTGCATAGTTTTCTTCCTGAAGACATAAGAAATGCGTGAATGACATTGGGAAGCCAATGTCATTTGAGTGAATCAGAGGGATGGAACTTTTCTAGAGCACCTATGAAGCAACTACTCCATTTTAGATAAAGCCTGAATGAGGCTTTCCTATTAATTCATTCTGGAAACCTGTGAGTGTGTACATGTATAAAATCTTGCTTTCCTTCACCATGATCTAATAGCAGAAACCATTGCCTATCCTACTGAGAAACAGAAAGTAATTAAGTAATTAGTAATTCCAATTATCTGTTATGAGGCTATAAAGTTCAAAACATGAATTTGCAATTGGGGATACAGAAAATATGGCACACTTTGTTCCTAACATTTAAAAGAAACAAGAGGACCAGCATTCTTATGCATCCTTCTCATTCTTTATCCGACTTGTACATTTTACGTTTGGCTGTATGCCTTTGTACTTCTCCTATGAAGGACCTTCGATCCAGAGGAAGATGTTAACTGAGATTCAAAGGTGGGCAAGATTTACATCCCTACAGAATTCCCTCTCACATGCTGCCACTACATATCTCTCAGTGTATGCCACTCCATCCTGCTTCCTCCTTCTTTTCATGTGTATCTTGGGAAATTAGATCAATAAGCAGCTTCACCCAGGAATGTGTGAGGGCTGTCTATTATCAGTATCCCTTTGGAACCTTAAAATGTCCCTTAGAGCAGGGGCCCATGGGCCAAATCTGGCCCATGGGCTGCTTAGATCTGGCCCATGGGGCCACCCTGGAAACAGTGAAGTACCACCCCACAGTGCTTCTGTCAGTGAAAATGGAGCTTGGGAGGGCTGTGTGCAGCCCCCGGGGATCTGTTTTCAGCTGTGACAGCCTCCTGTAGCCCTCTGCCAGCAAAAACAGAGCATGGGGGCTGTGCATGGCTCCCCTGAGCTATGTTTTTGGCTGGGACAGCCTTCTGAAGCCCTCTGACAGAAAAAAACAGAGCTTGGGGGGTGCATGCAGCTCCCCCGAACTCCATTTTTGGCTACGACCCCAGCACTCTGCCAACTGAAAATGGAGCCCATTTCTGCTGGCAAAGGGCAACAGGAGGTTGTAACAGCCGAAAATGGAGCCCTGGGAGCTGTGCGCAACCCTCCCGAGCTCCGTTTTCACTAGCAGAGGCACCGTGGGCAGGTCCTTCGCTGTTTCCAGTGCTCCGCCAACAAAAAATGGAGCCCATTTTTGCTGGCAAAGAGCAGCAGGAGGTTGTCACAGCTAAAAAGGAGCCCACGGGGGTCTCCCAGGCCACCGCAGGTGCCCCAGACATGAGTGACATTGAGCTGGCCACACTCACCTGGCCATGCCCATCTGGCCATGCTCATCCAGCCCCCTGAGGTCAAACACAACCCTGATGTGGCCCTCAATGAAATCAAGGTTGACACGCCTGCCTTAGAGCATCAAAGCCAGTCAGAAGTGCTCAGGGCCAAAACTTCAGCTCGTTTTAAAAAATAAAACAAATAAGATCAATTTTCCTATTTAGGAACACTTAGGGGGCAAAAGAGGTTCCTGGTGACTTTGTTATGAGAAGACAGGCTATCTTAGAAGGCAAAGAGGAGGACTGAAAATGAAAGACAATGGAGGGAGGTTGGGGAGAAGCTTAACTCTTGGTGGTACAAAGTACCACTTGGTATAACATTGTCAGAAATTGGAAATTTTAACATGAGGAAGATACTTGAAGTTAGTTATTACTGAAAGAAATAGATTATACTATAGTTGTGAATTATTTCAGCTAATTAGAACTCAGCAAGCATAGCTACCTGGAACCTTGTTCTATAATATACATATACACCGTATATAATCATATTGTTAAAAATGTATTTCACAGCTTCTCTAGGGGCCCAAGCAAAATAAATTCTGAATTCCTAACATAGCAGAAAGCCTGAACAGCTATACTATATCAGGAATAATTTTTCTTTTGTAGTACAAAAGTTCTTTCATGCTACATGTTATCATTCTAACAATATTATATGTCTCTTTAACGTAAGGATATAAAATCATTATGGTTATTCGGGTTCAAGTCAAGCATGAAAAAATCTATCAAAGGTAATGTATAGTTGCTGTAATAAAACTATTCAATGTAATAAGTAATCCTTCTCTCCATTAAGCTCTGCCAAGTTCTGTTAGAAAGCACATTGTTACAGTGAATGTATATAGCACTACCATGAAAATTGACAGAAATATTGGATCTTCCTTAAAATGAAAACACATGAGGTTAGATTGTGTATGTGTGTGCATGTATGCGTGTTTCAAAGCTTCACAGCCTTTTACAGCAGATAAACTATACTTGAAAGACATCCTAGATCAGTGATGGATAACTTTTTTGCCATCGTGTGCCAAAAGTGGGGGGAGCATGGGGGGGTCGTGTGGTGCATGCCCACACCCATAATTCTATGCACCCCACCCCCTGTGCATGCGTCCGTGATCCCCCCCATGCTCCCTCCGGTTTTGACACAAGATGCCCCGGTGGGCCCAGTAGGCCCGTTTTTTGCTCTCCTCAGGCTCCAGAGCTTCTTTAGGAGCCTGAAGAGGGTGAAAATGGCCTTCCCCACAGAGGCCCTCTGGAGGCTGGAAACGGCCCATTTGCCGACTTCCGGTAGGACTGGGAGGCTCGTTTTTTGCTCTCCCCAAACATCAGAGCCTCTCTAGGAGCCTGGGGAGGGCCAAAACAGCCTACACCCCACCCAAAGGGATGTAGAAGGCTGTGTTCACCCTTCCCAGGCTCCTAGAGAGGCTCTGGAACCTGGGGAGAGCAAAAAAACAGGCCTTCCCCACCCACCCCAGACCCTCCGGAGGCAGAAACAGCATGTTTCCCTATTTCCGGGTGGCCCGGAAGGCCCGAAAATCAGCTGGCCAGCGTGCACATGCATGCCAGAGCTGAGCTTGCATGCCCACTAATATAGCTTCGTGTGCCATTTGTGGCACACGTGCCATAGGTTTGCCATCACGGTCCTAGACTTTGGAGTTTGATGAAAGGGTAGTCATCTTCTTGCAAATGGCTGTCTTTATGACTGTTTCCTTGCCATGTCAATGGGCAAGAATGTTTACTGTGGACACTGGAATAAGAGATTCATGATGGGTTTTTTTGTATTATTTGCAATATTAGAGTTTGTTTAGAATTGAACTGCATATAAATTGCAGAAATAGTTAATTAATTAGTTAACTTTAAGTTGTCTTCTGTTTCTGTTTAACTCCCCTTTTTGCCTCTTTGCCTGCTTAAAAAAATTGCTGTTTCTCAGCAATACACAGTTGCCTATGTATCTGGAATAACTTGTTTTAAACTAAGCCAATTAAGCAAGGAATTGATATGTCTTGACTTTATTTCATCTTTTGAAATTGTAGCTTTCTGTATCAGGATCTTAATACAAGAAAAAAAAAATCCCCTAAGACATTTCTCTTACAATTGCTCCCATGCCCCATAAGTTAGCCAATCCTCTTAGGGATTCTATAATGCAGTTTCACTCCCCCCCCCAAAAAAAAAAGAAATGATTTGAGGAGTAATCAAGCAAACTAGTTTTATCCTAAATAGCCTATAGATTCAATATCCTTCACAGTTCATAGATGCAACAGTAAGGGAAGCTCAAAAAAGTAAAATCAGGACAGGACAGGACCAGAGGTGGGTTTCAGCAGGTTCTGACCAGTTCTGGAGAACCGGTAGTGGAAATTTTGAGTAGTTCGGAGAACCAGTAGCAGAAATTTTGAGTAGTTTGGAGAACCGGTAAATACCACCTCTTACTGGCCCTGCCACCATCTATTCTCTGCCTCCTGAGTCGCAGCTGATTGGGAGGAAATGGGGATTTTGCAGTAACCTTCCCCTGGAGTGGGGTGGGAATGGAGATTTTACAGTATCCTTCCCCTGACACACCCATCATGCCACGCCCACCAAGCCATGCCACGTCCACCAAGCCACACCACAGAACCAGTATTAAAAATTTTTTTGAAATCCACCACTGGACAGGACAGGACAGACAGGACAGGACAGGACAGGACAGGACCAGAGGTGGGTTTCAGCAGGTTCTGACCAGTTCTGGAGAACCGTAGTGGAAATTTTGAGTAATTCGGAGAACCGGTAGCAGAAATTTTGAGTAGTTTGGAGAACCGGTAAATACCACCTCTTACTGGCTCCGCCACCATCTATTCTCTGCCTCCCGAGTCGCAGCTGATTGGGAGGAAATGGGGATTTTGCAGTAACCTTCCCCTGGAGTGGGGTGGGAATGGAGATTTTACAGTATCCTTCCCCTGACACACCCATCATGCCACGCCCACCAAGCCATGCCACGTCCACCAAGCCACACCCACAGAACAAGTATTAAAAAATTTTTTGAAACCCACCACTGGACAGGACAGGACAGGATAGACAGGACAGGACAGGAAAGGACAGGACAGGACAGGACAGGAAAGGACAGGACAGGACAGGAAAGGAAAGGAAAGGAAAGGAAAGGAAAGGAAAGGAAAGGAAAGGAAAGGAAAGGAGAGGAAAGGAAAGGAAAGGAAAGGAAAGGAAAGGAAAGGAAAGGAAAGGAAAGGAAAGGAAAGGAAAGGAGAAAAGTTTTTAATAAAATCAAATTTTATCAAATTGCATACCATTTGTTGCTATTTGTTTCTCATAGCTACTAGACAAAATTTGGCTGCATTATGGGCAACATGGTCCTATGGTCTGCTGGGTGAAAGGAGATTTATCAGTTATCATGAACTACCTGCAGTTCTTTTATGAGGAGTTTAACTAACATGGTACACACATAAATCCCTTTAAAAATTACAATATTGTGGGACATATCCCACATTCTTTGTAGCTTGGGAATCAGACAGGCAGAGGGTTTCATGGTGGGGAATATAGTGATATCTGCCATCCATGACAGCATAAGATCATGACACATTCAGTCTTGCTGGAGAAAATGCTCTACAATGTTTGCAATTTATATTCAAGGGTTGGTCATGGTCAGCTGGCATTGTAGTAAAGACTTACATTGTCTTGATGGCAGCAAGATGTTCGTGTGCTAACATCTTGTTGCCATCCTATGTTTTAAATTTTTTCCTTCAGTAGTTTTTCTGCTTAGTCATATCTCATCCCTTCTAATGTCTCACAAGACAAGCCATAGAGAGTCCATTTTTTTCTAAGATGGATCTTCTATATG